AAATTCAAATTTCGTCAAAACCACAGTTAATTTGTAGTTCAAAATTTATAAAATATTAAATGTGTATAGCTAAGGCTAGACAATTTAATACAAGGTATTTTATACAAGTACCTAGTTCAAACTTTTACAGAAAAATTACAGATATTTTATGCAAATTGGTATGCAAATAAAATGTTTTTTCAAAAATGAATTTATTCTGGTAAGACGTATATGAAATTTACGTCTTGCTTACTATAGTTGACAATTGAAACTTTGAAACTTGATAAATATTTTTTTTAAGTAATAATAATACGGGAAATGGGGAGGGCTTCAGCCCGTTAGCCCCCCCCTGCTGACGCCACTGTCTAGATACATTATTTAATTATTACATTCACTCAACACAGCCACATAGGAAAATTATATAAGTTATCTAAATTCCATTATCTACATAATATTATATTTATATCTAATAAATAGTTTACAATACTTAATAATATTGTTTAACATTTGTATAATATGATAGGTGACTAAAAAAAAAACGTTTTGTGTGAAATAGTTTGAAGTTTAAACAGGTGTATTGTAGCTGTGTGTACCTATCTACTATTTATTAGCTTACATCATGTATTGACGTATTGTTGATATGCTCTGAATTCTGATACGTATAATACATGGAGTGCATTTATACAATTTATGACCCGGAACAATATATTTTAGCTAAATCCCCCTCCTACTGAAAAATAAGTTATTTTTTTAAAATGTAATAAATTATTATATTATATAGATTCTTATTGTGAAGGTCATACAAAAATGTCACAAAATAGCCTCTCCCTCTAAAATAGACAGCTTTTTAGTTGTATGGGATCGAAGTCCATTAATTGGCTCACATTGATGTCAAAATTGTTAGCCCCCCTGAAATTTGAATATATTTTCTTCTATGTTGCCCACTGCCCGCTCCTATTAACACCTGCTTTCACGCACAAACTCCAAATTGAATTGTTTCTTATTAACTTAAAAAATAAAAGTAGTAAAATGTGAAATATTAAATAAGTAATAGGTAATTATGAAGTATAATAATTTTTCAAGTGGTTATGTGTACTCATTAGTCATTACTCATTAATTACTATTAATACCGTTGGTGCTTAATAAAAAATAGTTTACGAAGAATAATTTAAGATTTACCTGCATTCTAAATGGCAAAAACCCGGGCTGTACCTTTAGAAAAAACCCAACCCGTTTGGGTTTTTTCAAATAAAATTCCAAAAACCCAAAAATCCAATGGGTTTTAATGTAAAAGTAATAATGGGTGGTTTTATCGGGTTTTTAAATCGGAATTTTTTCCATGTATTAGCATCACTGTTTTCCCTTATCTATTATTTTATTACTAAGTACCTATTTGTTATTTTGTTAATTGTTAATTTTCTTTAAGATTATTCATTAAGTATTTACAGGAAAGTTACGTATTTAATACCTTATTAAAAATAAAATATTGTTAACATTTCTATTGACCGTTGGTGTGTAATTTTTTCAATTTTTTATTTTAAATTGTACCTAGGTACCTACCTAATTAAACAAATAATTATTAAATATTTTACAAATCAGTTAAATACTTTTTTTTTTATTGAACAAAAATGTATATTTACAATCAGTATTTACAAGTTGTACAATAAGTAAATGGGATGTGGTTTGATTGAAGGGAGGGCGAAGCCACCCAATGCTGGCACCCCGTAGTTTAATACTTAATTGGAAAAATAAATAATACCTATAAGTAAGGTAATTTTTTCTGAAAACGAACACAAATTAAAAAAAAAATAAGAGTTAATTTCTATTTTATCCAGAACAGCAGCCCGGGTTTTATGGATTTTTTTTCAAAATAATGAGTGGATTTAACCCAGAAAAGCAGCCCGGGTTTTTTTATGGGTTTTTTAAAACTTCAAGTGGGTTTAACCCAAAAGCAGCTCGGTTGGAATTTTTGGTGCCTAACCCTGATTCTAATATCAATGGATATTAGATGGTTACAGATACATGTATTACATTGTAATTAATGTTTATAATTTATAATTTATATTTTAATATATTTATAAGCATAATAATTATTAATTGTGTAGGCAATAGGTAGGAATGGCATCGGGTACTATAAGTTTTTTTTTTTTTCCGTACCTATAGATCTTACACATCAACTCTTATCAATGTATATTAAAAAATACACATTGATAATAATATGACGTAGGTTCTTATACATTTCAATGACGTGGGGCTTTTAATGTTTGTTCGGTGATCCAAAACATTATTTTCACCGCAAAAAAACCATTAACATATTTACATGTCAGTAGGTATAATATTTAAAATTTTTTGCCACAGGTATTTGTTAGCATATAGTTCAAAATTTAACATGGACTAATTTCAAATTTTCTGAAGTCAGAGTAAACTTTCATCGCCTAAAATTAATCTATAACTTAGGTACATACCTACAGAATACCTATCAATACATTATACATCAATAAATAATGTAGTAGACTAATGAAACAAAATTCCAGTCATTAGTATCTAGTTAGCACGGTTGTAGAATGTAGGTAACCGCTGTAAAGCCATGTCTTTAGTGACTATTATTGCTTATTAGAAAAAATAGTTATTAGTAATAATTATAACACACCTATTAATTAGTAATTAATGTTCTGTTTTTAACTTTTTTATGGATCAGAATATCAGATTGAATGGAATAATTTTTGAAAGAAACATTTTAGTATTACACTATTACGTTAGATAAATTGTAAATATACCTAATTAATGTAAAATATGAGAGCTAAAACAATAATAATTGTTGGCGGTGATATATTTATAATATACAATATACTAACTAGTGAGTAGCTAGAATTTAAGTTAGCAGATAAGATAGTGATATTATATACCTAGGTACCTAGTGCATTATATTATTATAGATGATATAATAAATTATTCGTTATATTACTCGAGTCTTACTACGCGATTAAAATATATTATTCATATTTTTTATATAACTTTGGTGGTTTAAGTTTTCGAAAAATGTCTATCCGGCCTACCCACTGATTTACTAACATTTCGGAGATAGTGGTGTAAGCGTGTAGCACTTTGCAGTCTGCACTCCGTACGACTAAGGAACCTACTTTACGTATTTACGGTTTTGTAACCACCCCGCTGTATATATTATTATCCACATCATGGTACCCGCAAACATTATACGGTTGTAATATTGTATTATGCAACTGTGCAGCTTGCTATATAGTATATGGTATTAAACAGCTTATATTACGTAGGTACCTGCATTATAATATTTTATAATAACCCTACTCAAGCATAACAATTAGTATAGGTACCGATTACTGATGTTTGATATATGGGCAAAGACAACTTTGCGATTGTCAATGTGCATACATCATAATAATTAATAATAATATATTCGGTACCTACTCATTAGTCAATCTCATAAGCATATACCGGTGGACAGATAAATCATACCTATTATGCAGAGCTTAAAATAATACCTAGTGAATAATATGATTATAATGACTTATCGGCGCACGGGACAAGAGAATATCCGTTGCGTAGGTACACAACGCCAAATCGAATGATAACATTAATAATGTAGTACGTGTTTTTTTACTCGGTACGCTCACGACGGTATATGGAATAATATGTTGTTACTGTTGTGTAAATAACAACAACGATATAAACGCACACAAAGTGTGCTTCGGCGAGAGCGTGTCGCCACACGCACACATTTCGGTGTCGTGTGTCGCAGTCGCATCTTCTCCGCCCGCCACCACCGCACCGCCGTCCAGTCGCGTCGAACGGCGGCAGCTGCTGCGACGACGACGACGACGGTCGCTTTTGTATTCCGTTTAACCGGCCGCCGTTGTCGTGACGTACACCTTTGTGAAATAATAAAATAAACATTTATTTCCCGCCGACCGAACCGGACTAGGAAAAAATCCTAGTCCCACCTCCCACGATTAATGTCGTTGGCAGGAGATAAAGAAATGGAAATTATAGTAGTAATAAAGAGGGCAAAATGAAACAAAAAACAATAATCTAATAGACGGCAAGAGTGCAAGACACTGTGCCATAAGAAAGACGCTCTACACACATTATTTCACTATTATTATTACTATACATTATATTATATACGGCTGCGGCGTTCACCACTCAACCATCAACTAATGACCCCTCCCCACCACCCGCCAAGGCAGACACACGCACCCGCGATCTGCCACCACCACCCGTGCCAAAGGTGTACATTGAACAAGTGTACCGTAGTACTGTACACCGTAAGCGGACAGTCCGCGAGTTAACAATCCGTGACGTCTCGTATCATAATTTATTCATAGTATAGTATAAATATTCGTATTATTATTATCTCCGTCGTCACTCTCCGAAATAATCAGTAATCACAATAATATTAATAATAATAATAATAATTCTATGATATTACGATAATACTATAATGACATAGTATTATAATATTATAAATTGCTGTACAACTCGATCGTCCGAGTGTCCGACAACCGAACTGTACGTGTTTACTGCAGCAGTGCAGCAGCAGCAGCATCGTCTTCGAGCAGTACACCGTCGTACGCGTATACTGAGCTGTCGAAACGTGTTCGCGGGCCGTATTATAATATTATTTTATTATCGCCGAGTACACTCTGAAGTGCTGACACGGCCGCCGCCAATCGCGTTGTGTGTCAGTAGTCGGTGCGTTATTTTTTTTCTCAGTAGTTGCGCGCGCGTCGAGTCCTGTAGTTTATCGCCATCGCCTTGCGGCCGTCCACCCGCTTCTTTGTCCCTTCCTGTCCGCTGTGCGCGACCGCTTTCAGCCGGTGTCCTGTGCTCGACATGACCAGTCCCGCGTAGTTATGTGACGACGACTGTGCCCTACACCTTGTCTTGTCTTGTACATAACACCTCTCTACGCAACAGTGACGACGAGTTTTCCCATTTCCATTTTGTGTTCTTCCACTGATGTTGGCCGGACGACACCGATCAACATGGTTAAAAGGTACGTACAGTCCAGTGGTTAGTCTTGAAAAGTAGGTTTTGAGGGGGACATAGATATTTTGTTTTTTTTCACTTGGTCATTTTTCTTGAAAATCTATCTCAATTAAACTCAATAGTAGGTACTGGAACAATAGGTTAGGTGAGATGTCTGTGCGTTAGGATAATTAAGTATCAAGCACTGTCCGCGTAGTGTTTCTATACGGATTTTCTACTCATTCAAGAGTTGTATTCTATTTCATATTCCAATATTTTTATTGGTTGGTTATCAGTAGGTTCAGTAGGTACCTAATATATTATTTCTATAGGCACCTAATTTTTTGGGCTCTGAATCGCAAAAACATAAAATTCCAGTGATAGGTACTTGTTGCCTGTTAACACATTGACTGCCTATGTCTTTTTGTAGTTTTCACCCGGTGCATATGATAAAAGTAAAAACAAGTCATCCAATACAATTTATTAGTTATGTGTAGTACGGTGTAGTATATCAAATATGGATTCATTTAACTTGATATATCTAAAATAGGTGGTACGAATGCAATGCTATTAATAAAAACACAAACAATTTTATTAGATAAACAAGAATATTTACAATAAACATCTGCGAATTGGCTAAACATTTCTGCCTGGAAAATTACCTTGTAACAGGCCCACCATATATATTATAATAATCAATAATAATTTTCTATAAAAAAACCTTTTTTTTTTTAGGAATCCTCTTATTTAGGTATAATTTAATATGATATACTTTTGACATGTGAGTAGGTACGTAACTTTTGTTTATGATCACCCAAATTACCAACTAGATTCACTTACCTAGTTTCCTTCCAGAAAAGATGTTGAAATAAAAAATCTAAGCATTTTTATTGCCTTAAAAAGTGATGACTGAACTTTTTTTTAAAAAAACCAATGCATAGGTATATAATATTATATTAAAGCAATTTTTTTTAAATTATTTTCTAATATTATGTTCTACATTAGAACGAAGACAACATAAATTCTGCTCTGAATATTACTTTATTAATAACACAAAGCCACAGAGGTAAATCTATACTCCAGCTAGCTCTTGCTCACAATTTTAGTATGCCAGTACTACTTTATCTGTATTAGTGTAGCACTAGATACAATTTTAGCCAGTCCTATTTCTGTAAGCCAACTGTTGGGTAAACCAGTACAGGCACATTAATGCACCTTTTGTGAGTGTCTGTACATATCCGATTGGGATGTTGGCGGTTTAAAATAAAATTTAAACCAATTCATCTATACTACTTGGGGTTGCCAAAATGAAATCCAAAATTGTTATACGAGTATACGACATCTAACAAGACAAGCAATTAAATATTATCAAATAATTTGTAATCCAAGTATATTGACCCAGAATTTTAATATGAGGATTGGCCCACTGGAAACTTTCCCGGTATCCCAACCGGCCAATCTTCCGCTGCCCATAACCATGTATAATGTATATTAGACATTTTGTCTAAGTAAAAATAAAAATACAATAGGTATTGTAGGTATTTTTGATAATTCATGTAGTATCAACTATCTAGTTATGGTGAATTACTTTAAATATCCCTAAATATAATATATAATATGTAGTTATATTTTATTTATTACTACTACTTTAAGCCTTAGTGATTACAATTTTTTTTATAAATCATACTTTATTTCAGATCTGATGCAACTGATTCAAAAAAAAATAACTCCAAACATGAAAATGCAATCAAATATGGCGAACTTATAATTCTTGGGTAAATATTATGTATTCACTTTTTTGTTTAGCACCTAAAATTATGAAATTCTCATTGTTGGTACTCTAAATACTATATTATTTTTTTATCTTTATGACTAAAATAATCATGTTTTAGATATAATGGCCATCTAACTGCGGGTGACAAAAGAAGGCGGCGCAGTAAATTTGTTTTATGGAAGAGAGATGTGGCCAATGGAATTCGAAGATCTAATCATTATGTTGTGCCCAGTCCTCAAAATTCACATGTATGTTTTCTATTACATTTATATATAATAATTAGACACCTAGGTACTTTTCCAAAACTGGAAAAGATGACAAAAATTACACAAACATAATAATATAATTAAATTATAATACTATTATGGTATTCTTGCCACTATACTCTGTATAGCCAAGTTTCAATCTCTCAGGAGCTATACTCTATTATTATAATAACTGCCTAGCTTTCATTTTGCTAAAATAAACACGATACCTATAGCAATGTTTTCATAGTAGCCAATTGTTATAAACAAAAGCTGACAATGGAAACTGATTTAATAGAGGAGTGTGCTCTTACCAACCTGGACAAAAATCGGTTGCTTCTCGAGGTTACTCTTATAAGAGCTAGTGTACTGTCTATCATTTCATAAAGTGGGTAGCAAATATCAACTTTAAGAGATGTATTCATGTTGTAAAAATGGTTTTGAATAAAAAATATTGATAACTTTTGATATTTTCATATAATCGATGAAACAATTTATTTGTGTGATATTCATATCATAATAGTTTCATATTTTCTTTATACTTAAATGACTGCTTTAAAACCAAAATAATTATTTTAAAAATCTAACTACAAAAAGTCATTAATTAAATTCAAGTAAAACTATCAATACTTTAAAATAGTAAAAAAATAACCCTCCATAGGTAAAATCTGTTTTATGTATTTCACAAATTGTATATTTTAATTGTTAAAAGTGAGAAAACAGAAATTACTTTTTATGTCAATTAAATCATTTTTGTTAGTCATAGTTAGGTTTTATCTAATAAAACAATAACATTTCTAATATATAAATTTTTTTTGTCAAAGACAAAATCACTTATTTTATGGAATTGAAACTATCAGCATAACATGACGTCATTGCCATGCTAACTCTTATTGGTGCCCCAGGGCAATAATATTTGGCACCCCTAATAAACATACATAATATGTCAATAATATTGCAAATGTTTAAATATTATTTATACATTTGCCGCCCCTTAAAATGTTACAAGTTTGGCCGCATAGGGCACTTGCCCCATTTGCCATCTCCTTAGCACGGTTCTGCATGATGTGTAATCTTGCTTTTACATTACTTTTATTTCAAATAAACCACTAAATATGCATTTTTATGTTAAATATTCAAAACAAATAAAGTGGGTAAATAAGTAATTGCTTTACTGTACATAGGAATATATTATATGTTGAATGTACCTCGTCATTGAGTAAGTCTCTGTAAGGGATGTGTTAAATTTGAATCTAATGATAAATCATTGCATAGGAGTATAGTTCTGAAAGTTTCAGCCTATACTACAAACTATATTTTATGATAAATTTATATTGCTTTTATAGTAATATAATTAAGAGGCTGTCAGCGCACTATTTGTTTTCTCTCTCTGGCTCACACGCAACATAGACAAAACACATTTACGCAAAATCATTTTTTCTATGTGTTTAAGTAATCTTAGAGTAAAGTAACCCATTACAAAAAAGATAGAGAATAATATTTTTGAGGGAATGACGTATCGATTTGTCTAAATACTGTCTCAAAACAATTTAAACATCATTTAAATTTACAAAATTTTTTTGTTTATTTTGAAAGTCAAATAATAATAAAATATAAAATCGATATGGCATTCCCTCAAAAATATTATTCTCTATCTTTTTTGTAATAGGTGACTTTACTCTATGATTACTTAAAATCATAGAAAAAATGATTTTGCTTAAAAATCTTCTTTCTATGTTGCTCGTGGGCCAGAGAGAGAAAACGAATATAGCGCTGATATACTCTTAACAATAATTAGTATTATTGTAGGTTGAATTAAGTTTTTCCAAAAAATTGCATGTATTAAATTATTTTAGTATACATATTTATATAAAAATATAGTATATTATATTTGTATCATATTATTATGTATTTATATCATATTTAATTGTAATTAACTTTTGAGTTAATACCGACTTAATGTAGTACAAATAGATTCTTGGTATAAATAGATTATAAGTAAAATTAATCTAAATATTTAAAAAAATTTAATTGTTTATTATTATTAATGAATGGACTTTAAAATAAGTTCCAAGTGTACAAAAGTCGTTATTATAATATTTAATTTTATTGAACATGAACTACCTAAAAATGTATATAAAAAAAAAATTAAACATTTGTATTATAACATTGAGTTTTATTGAAATTCACTCATTAAAAAAATATTTCTAACCATTTTAAATATTTTTAATGAGTAGTAAAAACCAATTATCTGGGACCTTGTATTGATTTATTAATCTCTCTGGCCTACCACCACATTTTTTATTAATATTTTAGAACAAAAAACTAAAAAAAATTTAAAATGTCTATAAATTAAGTCTAAAAATTTCATTTAGGTATTTAAAGTTTCAATCAAAAAGAAATATCAAAAATTTTTAAGAAGATGCTTATACCCGCTTGCGTTGTCTCTATCTTACTGTAAGAGTCTAACTACACCCAAAATTGCAAAATGTACGCTATAAATAATCCATTTAACTCAGTTATGTTATTGACTTTTTTTCAAATTTAAAAAGAAGAATATTATGTAGTGAATCTCTACTTTTTTTTTTATATATTTTAACTTCAAAGCGAGTTATGATCATTTTAAAATTGTAAATTATTTGTACATTTTAAAATGCTCTTAAAGAGAAATCATTATTTTACGTGTGAACATTTAATGTCGTCAACATTTTAACTTCAGATGTTCATAAAATTTAATTTTGCAATTACCATCAACTTTTTTTATAGTTTATATATTATATAAGAAAATTATGAAGAACCTTGTAATAATTTTTCAAACTTTTTAGGTATGAATATAAAAAAGTTATGAATTTTGCAAACATTAGAACTTTGAATGCTTATAATTGTGACTGTATTTTTGATATTTTTTTATTTTATTTTATAATCTTGAGGACATAACTGACCAAATTTGAAGAATGCTGCAAAACATATACTAATGTTTGTAGATCTTAATCTTACTAATAACTATATTGTACTTTTAGTTAAGCATACATCTAATCAGTGGCGCATCTACGATTTAGCCCCCCCCTTCCCCAGAATTTTAACCTTAAGTTGTGCTTATGCATTTAATATATGAAGTAATTACTAATTTATATTTTTTTAGGCGGTGCTGGATAAGAACCAGCACTCCATATCGTACACACTATCTCGGACCGAGGCAGTGATTGTAGAGTATGTAAATGACGAGGCAACTGACATGTTTCAGGTAATTATAAACCTATCTATATGAATTATGAATAACCACTATTAAAACAAATTAAAGATTGACTATTTGACCTACTTAATTTATAAAAAAAAAAATTTAAGATTGGTAAAATTATTTTTGAAATTTTCTACTTAATTGTGATAAGTAGGACAAAGATTTTATTTCCATAAAAAATACCTGTAAATGCTCTTTAAATAACAAATTTTTTATTTCAAACAGGTAAATAATATTAAAAAAAATTCCTAAGCCGTCAGTAAATACTTAAAAAAAATAATGAATAAGAATCTAAAACACCAAACGTTTATTTCTAGAAAAAATCAATTAAAAATCATGTTTAATACATCTTATAAAAGTTTATATAAAAATGTATATTATATAATTTATATTTTCTAATTATATTTATACATTTTATTTTGTGTTAATTTGTATTGCTATAAATTTTGTTCATCAAAATGTGCAGTTTAAAGTTTGTTAAGTTTTTTGAATGTTATGTTTTTTTACTGTATCCAACCCATTAAAATCCCAGTGAGTTTTATTAGGTTGGATCCACTACTTTAAACCCTGCAATGATTTGAACAACAATAACAATGTATGTGATGTATGTCATATACACAGTTCTTAGTAAAAATAAATTGTTTTTACCGGGTTGATAAATTGCACTCAATTATCGATATAGTATAATTCAAAATTTAGACAATGAGACGATGTGTGCTGGCTCTTTATCTTAAAATATGCAAAATCATCTAAACTTAGTCAAATATGCAAAAATATACAAAATAAATTTTTGTACTTGGATTGTATGTACTATGAAAAAAAATTGTATCGAATCTTTAATATGCAGTTTCTTAAGAAATAAATAACGTTTATGTAAATGCATAAAGTTCCGAGCCCTGGTTATAACTAACACAGATATTGTTAGTATCTACATTAACAGTTCAACATTAAGTCAATGTTAATGCCAATAAATATATAAATAATGAATTTGATTTTATATTCATAAAACGAAATATGTATTTGATAATAATTAATAATAATACACTATTGTTTGTAGGTTGGCCGTTCATCAGATTCCCCAATAGATTTTGTAGTGATGGACACAAATGCGGAAAAAAATGCTGCAGCTGTTAACAATGTACCTATTGTTGATAGTAAAAAGACAGCTGCTGCAAGTACAATATCTAGATTTGCTTGCCGCATAATTTGTGACCGTGACAATACCAATATAGCTCGTTTGTATGCTGCAGGATTCGATTCCTCTAGAAATATATTTTTAGGGGTAATAATATATTAACAATTAGTTTTTAGTAACAAATTATTGTATTTTGAATTGTTGGTTGATTATAATTTAGGAAAAAGCAACTAAATGGAAAGATGGCGAAGAAATTGATGCACTTACTACAAACGGAGTGTTGGTTATGCATCCAAGTGGAAAGTTCCACAAAGGAAATACGGAACCAGGTATCTGGTTAGAGGTTTCAGTCTGTGGTAAATTATTTTCTTTGCGTGGTTCTCGATCTGCTCAACTTAAAGGTGATATGGTAAGTAACATCTACATCACATCACTTTTAAAATATGTATACCTATTATAATTAATTAAATTTTTTTTAGGTTGATAATTCAGACAATATTCTTACTGATGGAACATTGATCGATTTATGTGGTGCAACCTTGCTTTGGAGGTCAGCGGAGGGACTCAGCTTATCTCCTGTAATTATAAATTAATAATATATGCTTTTGCACCTATAATATAACGGTTAATTTTTTTTTTTGTCTATTAAATACTTTTTTATTTCTATTAAAAAAATAACAATTAATATTAAATATATAACTGCAATATTATATTACACTTAGAGTAATGATAAAAGATACTACACAGTAGACTATACTGTATTTAAGATAATTTACATCTTTAATAATATAATTATCACAGTAATTAAAATTCATTGAATGTAAAATACATAAATATTATTTATTCAACTTAGTATAATTATTATATTATATTATTATTATTATTATAGTTACATAAACATAACAAAATAATTTAATAAAACCAATGTCACAAAAATTACCCAAAAATAAGAATGATGTCTTTAGCCAATAACAATAATAATTTTATATGTTTGTTGAATTATGTTACATATTTTTTGTTATACTGTATACTGTAGTTCACAAATATAACGTATTCAATTATTTAACATTTTAGAGTAGAGAATACTTGAAAAAGCTGATTGAAAGGACAAATCGTGAACGACCTACATGTCCTGTTGGTCTCTACACATTAGTGTTTCCTCATCATTCGGAAGACCATGCTGCTGCGGTAGCATCTTCAGAACTTGCAGATGTAAAGCAACAGCCTTATGCTTACTTGCAATGTGGTCATGTCCAAGGTCTTCATGCATGGGGATTAAATAAAGACTCAAATAGTAGAACATGCCCAATGTGTTTAAAAGTAAATTGAAATTTGAAAAATATTTATTAGTTTTAAAATTTAATTAAATATTTAATTTATAGGTGGGCGGTATAGCCAAGTTGAGTATGGGCATAGAGGCTTCATTTTATGTACAGGATAAGGAAAAGCCAGATTTATATGCCTTTAACCCATGTGGTCACGTGGCTACAGAAAAAACGGTCAAGTAAGATTTAAATGTTATATAAATTAATACTTTTCTGCTCTTGATATCGTAACAAACTTAAAGAATATTTATATTCAATTGAAAAAAGAAAATAACATTATTTTATGCTAAATTTATATTTTTGATTATAAATTCAAATCCATACATTCATTAAGGGGATGCAGCCGATGAAAAAAAAGTGACTTTTAGACCAATAAACTAGAAGAATTTGGTTTGACAGATTTTAATTTTGAAAACGGATTATGATTGATCAACAAGTTTACTAGGGAATGATCTAGGTGATTTTGAATATTTTTTTTTTTCAGCTGTGATATTCAAGAATAAAAATATCGAAAAAAATATGATATTTTGTATTTATATTATTCATTATGACACCATACTCTGTTCAGATTAAGATTGAACCGCTCACTCTACCAAAACACGTTTTTTTCGCGCATTTCGGACACCGGTGGGAGCGTATGCACGGCGGCCAGCGATGACTGTCGGCCTATCACAGAACGGGTCAGGCACTATTCGGCGGCTCTGTCTGCATGCGCGACGCGGTTCAATCTTAACCTGAACCAAGTATAACAATAATTGGAATATTCAAAATCTTCTCGATCATTCCCTAGTAACCTTGTTGATCAATCATAATCCGTTTTAAAATTCTGTCAAACCAAGTTCTTCCAGTTTTGTATAGCTTATTGGTCTAAAACTCACTTTTTTTCATTAACTGGAGCCCCCTTCAGCCCCCTCAAGGTTTATTTTATGATACAGAATTTAAATATATCAAAAAACATTATAACAAACAAAATTAATGTTTAATTATTGGTCAAATCTATATGAGTTTTGACTTTTGACAAAATCGGCTTCAGCCCCCTTAACTAATACACTATAACTATAACTCATACAATATACATTAATTCAAAGATATTGTTTTCCAAATTAATCATATTATTTAGTTTTTATTACAAATAAGCATTTTCTATGATGCAAATTTAATTTCAAATAGTTTCTTAACTCTATATTATAATAAGCTTATTCTACAAAAAGTTAATTGAGTTCAATCAGCATTCTGTAATAATGTGGTATATTTTAAGTTTAGTCATATACTAAATAACAGTAAAAATAAATTATCAACTTTTAACTATTATAGTAAACAAAAAAGCAACAACAGGAAACTTTAAACTCAAAAAAATGTAAGATATTTAATATTATTATTTTGTTTTTTTTTTTTTTTATAGATTTTGGTCTAATGTAGGAATACCCTATGGAACCAATGGGTTTGAGGCATTTTGCCCTTTTTGCGCTAAACTACTTGAAGGCTATCCGGGATATGTTAAATTAATTTTTAACTAAAGATTAAGTACACGTTTTAAACATAATTATAAAAATGAATAGATTTCTTTTTATAGTTAATATTTATTTTTCCTTGACCTTATAAAGGTAGTGTGATAATATTAGCTTTTTTTTTGTCAATTTTGAGTTTTACTTTTGTCATTGTTTTTATTACAATTTTTTTTTATTTGTATTTCATCAACTTCATAACTAGGGTATGACATTTTATAAACTTAAAACTATTTTATTTAACTATTTTTTTATTTTTTATATTATTTGGTCACTTCTGCGTAGTGCCAGTAATCTCTAATCAATATAATATTATTTTTGTGTCTGATTTATGAGGCAGTTTAAAATAGTAACAATCTATAAAAAAAACTGTTTTGATAAAAAATCTCAGTATTAGTTTTAAAATTATTATTGGTTATCTTTTGCAATGTTTACAATTTTTGAAGATCTTAACAATGTTACTTTTTAAAGATCTTATTAGCTATAGTGAAATTAAATTATCAAGTATTTTATTAGGGTTGCTATGAGTAAAAGTTAAATTTCATCTGCTTTGTCACATATATTTCTTATAATCAAGAGTCATGAGCACTTTAAATTTCTTTTTAATAATGTTTTTTAATCAGCATAGAAAAACAAGAAGAAATTAACGATCACCGTGGGTTTATAAATTGAAATAATAAATGCATGAGCACTATGAAGTGAAGTGGTGTGTTTGAAGAAACCTAAGTATTTTCAAATATTAAAAATAGAATACTTTGATTTTTTATATTTCTAGTGAGAAATTAAATTTTTTTCTTTTAGATTCTGAGTGAATTTAGTAATGTTTTGCTTTTAAAATTATGTTTTTTTATTTCATTATGATCACTAACATTAGGATCATATAAATGGCAACCCTAGTATCTATATTTAAAAGTTTACTTTTGAATTTATTTTATGTGGAGTATTGTTAGTTTTTTTTATAATTAAATATATTTTAATTATATAGTTAAGGTTTTAATCAATTTAAGTAATACTTTATAGTTTTCATAAATGTATTGATTAAATTATTGAGATGTATTAAATGCAAATTTAAATATAAATACAAATACAAATTTTGTCAGAAGTACAACCAAAATATTATATATTCATTTTTAAATATATTCTTTCCGTATTCATAAAACTATGCTTCAAAGTACAATATTATAATAGTATTCATATACAATGTGTATATAATATATTTAATTGCACAGTTAAAATATAATTAATTGGTGTGTAAGCCGGTGTGATATTTCAAGACTGCAAACTGCTGAAAATAATTTAAATTAATTGTGGTAATATTAATACATATAGGCATTTAAAATAGATGAAGAATATTACTCTTATAGATTTGAACAGTCATTGCTATTAGTAAATTTTGTTTACGGTTGATTCATATTTTATTTTCAAAATTCTATTATAAATTGTTTATTAGCATTTGCAGTCATTCATTCAAACTGTATATTTTTTTTTTTTTGAAAAATGTAATTAAGTTTATATGACGTAATGCAATAATGGACATTACATTGATAAATTATTTTCAAAAACACATGTTCATTTATTGTATTATTACTAAAATTATTATTATTATTTGTATTATTAATATCATCATGATTATAGACATTTTGATTACGATGTATATTTACACAAATATTTTTTTTTTGTAATGATGTGCTATTTCATTCTAATTTTTTTCCGATGATAAAAATGTATTTTGATGCTGTAAAACAGAATGATCAGTACTTATAATATTTCTAGTGCTTGAAAAAAAAAATTGTTCCTATGCATATAGTTTAAGAAGAACGTTTTTCTTATCATGTTAAACACTCAATACTCAATGAATGAGTTAATTAAATTGCTCCATAAAAATTAGAGATTTCTTTGTGGCATTACTTGATTACTATTTTAAAGCCGAACATTTGTATAGATAAAATTCATATTTTGTGTTGAATGTATTTTGAATTTCAAAGCAATCTTAAGACCTGCTCATAGTTACCAGGAGTAATTGTAATATTTTTTTATGTACATAATATAAAATCATGGAACACCTATCGTACATACTATTTTATGGTAAATCTGAATCATCCCAGTTTATTGCAAATTGTTAATAACAATATTTTATATGTAAACTAATAAATATCATATACATGGTATTCTGTACATACCATGTCACCATTGGTTTAATAAATCTTTAATATTAATTTAATAAAAAATTATATATTTATTTTATAATAGATTACGGTTAATGAGCGACAAAATGTTCTTGTTTTGACCACAAGAGAAAATTGTAATTTATATAATTTTTGTAAAAATAGAATACTGTTCTCTGAACTCGTAATTTTCAAGCACTAAATATTTCATTGTTTAAATGTATTATGTAATAAAAGAAATAACAAATGGCTTACAAAATGTTGTTTAGTGCAAAATAATTAGGTAGGTAATACAATATTTTACTTACTTTATGTACTATGATATTTATGTTTTATACAGTAATAATGTATAGATAATAAATTTGTTAATTATTTTAATTTAAACTATCGAATTTATTTACCTATTTTAATTAAAAATTAGTAAAGATATTTAATATTTTGATGACATCAAATAGATTGATAACATATTCTGATAATTTAACATCTTGTGATTGATAAATGATAATTATTGTACTTAGCTAAATGCTAACCTAGCTTAATGTAAATGTGTTTGAAAATATTTTATGGTATATAGTTATTAATTATTTTTATGATTATGTTTGAAAAAGTAATGATATCATTACAATTATTACTGAATACTGGTACCTGTTTCATTCAACCTGTGTTGTGTTTTAAATTAATAAAATATTTATTTTCAGCTACTGAACTGTGGTCCGATCATTATAAATTCAATAGAATATGCTCTACTCCTTAATTTATTTTCTACTCTCTTTGAACAACAGAATTATTCATGGTATGTTATACTCTATCCAGGCTAAGAGCGCACCGGGCGGCCACGGGCAAAACCAGTTTTGTTACCTAAATCTGGTGCGCTCTTAGCCTGGACAGAGTATAGTTAAGAAATTACAAGCATTGGCGCAACTAGAGGGGACTAGGGGAGGGGGGGCTTAGCCCCCAAAAATATATCTTATTGATTTAGACAAAGCCCCCTATGGGTTATTTCAAATAAATAGTTTTTTTGGTTGGGCTGTAGCTTCCACAGAATTTTATCATGGTTGCGCCTATGATTACAAGTATGTTTTATCATTATTTGTATGTTGCCAATCTGCAACTAATAGCCATAAAAATAATTCTAATTAAGATGAATATTCTATTAAAAGTGTTGTATACAGTATACGTAATAATATTGTGTTATTTTTATAATGGGTATTGTATATCAATACGTAATTGATTATAATTTTTTTTATCAACTATAGTAGTTGACCTATAATTTTTTTTTTTTAATAACTTCTCTTATTTAAATCTATCCATAATGTGTGGGCTGAGGGAAGTATTTGATACTTAAAATATAATTTGCAATGTCATACAATTGGTCTGTGAAATCTCTACAGAAATGTTGTGTCAGTGTGTTACTTTATTTTTATGAACTAAAATGTTATAAATCATATTTTGTACATTATTATAGTTTATTATGTCATGATTTGGTATATGAATTAAATAAAATCCCTAACCTAAACCATTATTCTTCTTGTAACAGAAACCCATAGAAATACACTAAAAAGATACTATTTTAAATTGTGGTCACGGACTAAGAAATAATCATAGACCTTATGGCTTATACTAATAGACTGGCCTAGGCTATAAGAGAGTAGCTGTGGTAGTTCTGCCGTCAGGCATACAACAGTGATGTTCAGTATAATCACATCAGTGTTGTCATTGCCTGTTGAGTATAATGTACGATTATACAATAATACCGTACTATTATTATTTATCTTTTTTTCCTATAGAGCTTTCGTGGTACTATAACTAGTTTAATATAATACAATTTTATAATAAAGTTCTCCAAAACAAATAACAAAATTTTAAATTCATAAGTACCATGTACCATGTACCTGGCACCTGCATTGATTTACCTACACTACAATAATAATTATTATCGTGCAGTCACAAATCACACATGAAGAACGTCCTCTATATAGGGTATATAAGTATACTCCAAACTCAGATGTAAAATTATTGAAAAAAATGTATACACTTCGGAAATATTTAACGGCCACTTATGCCAAACTGCATTTTTTTTTATAACGTTACGTTTTTTTAGGGAACGAATTATTACTGAAAATGCATATCTATTGGTTTCTTTTTTCATAAGTTCAACAATAAATTGTGGGAAATATAATTGAAAGCAATCTAGCTCAGTGGAGTTCTCGCTTACCTACTTAATTTGTAACGTACTGATTGCTAGTAAATGGATGTGGTTCGTCTTTTAATTTTTTTGTCTCCATTTCGGATTCACACGTAATCTATGAGGTGCTGGTACATGCATTGGACGATCTTCATCTTTCTCATCGCTTTCAAATCCCCATGTGACTGATTTGACAAATTAAAATGTTTTAATTTCGTTGAAAGCTTGGTCACATTTTGGTGTCCAATTCCATTTATTTCCATTGCGTAAAATCATTTAGGTACAATAATAGTTTTAAAATATTTGCAGCGTTTGGAATAAATTTCATATAATTCCTATGTAATCAAACATAATGATAATTTTAACAACGTTTTATTGTCTGGGACAATGGCTTTTTAATAGCATCGTTTCGTTAATGTGACCCAAATATTCAATATAGATGCGTTTTTTTTTTTAAAAGACTTTATTTTGTGTAAATTTACAATCAACCAGAGTGTACAATGAGTAAATGTGATATAAGTGACAAATATAAAGTGAATCTCGAGATTAGGGAGGATACCCAGTGGTAACACCCTGTATATTATACCTAACAGGTATAATACAGAAATAAAATATTATAATAGTAACAGATTAGTGTTATCTTATATCTATCATCTCCAAGT